GGACTTAGTGAGACTTTCAGGGATCTTAGTAGGAATGCCACAAAAAAAAAAAAAAATGGAAAAGGACCAGTCAGAAATTAAGCATACACTGACTGAAATAAAGAATAATATATAAAGATTCAACAGAAGATTAGAGGATCCCAAGAACTGAATCAATGATTTGAAATATGAGGAAGGAAAAAAACACCCAACCAGAAAAATAAAAAGAAAAAAGAATCCAAAAACATGAAAATAGTGTAAGGAGCCTCTGGGACAACTTCAAGTGTACCAACATCAGAATAATGGGGGTGCCAGAAGAAGAGAGAAAGCAAGATATTGAAAACCTATTTGAAGAAATAATGACAGAAAATTACCCCCACCTGGTGAAAGAAATAGACTTACAAATCCAGGAAGTGAAAAGAGTCCCAAAGAAAAGGAACTCAAAGAGGACCACACCAAGACACATCATAATTAAAAAGACAAAGAGAGAATCTTAAAAGCAGCAAGAGAAAAGCAGTTAGTTACCTACAAGAAAGTGCCCATATGACTGTCACCTGATTTATCTACAGAAACTATGCAGGCCAAATGGGAGTGCAAGAAATACTTAAAGTGATAAATAGCAAGGACCTACAACCAAGATGACTCTACCCAACAAAGCTATCATTTAGAATTGAAAGTCAGATAAAGAGCTTCACTGATAAGAAAAAGCTAAAGGAGTCCATCACCACTAAACCAGTATTATAAGAAATGCTGAAAGGTATTCTTTAAGAAGAGGAAGAAGAAGAAAAGGAGTTCATCACCATAAAACCAGTATTATATAAAATGTTAAATGGTATTCTTGAAGAAGAAGAAGAAGAACAACAACAACAACAATAACAACAACAACAACAACAACAACAACAACAAGAACAAGAAGAAGAAGAAGAAGAAGAAGAAGAACAAGAACAAGAACAAGAACAAGAACAAGAAAAATATGAACAACAAAATGGCAACAAATGCATATCTATCAACAATCAAATCTAAAAATCAAAATAGCCCTAGTCGTCTTGTCTCAGTGGATAGAGTGTCAGCCTGTGCACTAAAGGGTCCCAGGTTTGATTCCGGCCAAGAGCATGCCTGGGTTGTGGGCTTCATTCCCAGGAGGCAGCTGATCAATGATTCTCTCTCATCATTGATGTTTCTGTCTCTCTCTCTTTCTCCCTTTCTCTCTGAAATCAATAAATAAATATAAAAATTAAAGAAAAATAAACAAATAAACAAATAAGGAATCTAATGAACAGAATAAACTAGTGAATAAAATAGAATCAGAGGCATGGAAATGGAACAGCCTGATGATTCTCAGGATTAAACAAAGATCTTATATGCATATATCCATTACTTATGGACACAGGCAATATGGTAGCAAAGGCCTGGGGTAGGGTGGGAGCTAGAAAGGAAAAAAAACAGAGATATCTGTAATAATCTCAATAATAAAAATTAAAAAATAATAGTAAAAAAAAGAATGGAAAAGGGTAGAGAACGAATCCAGCAAAAATAGTATGGCCATTTTGCATGGGAATCATTGGTACTAATTTTTATTGAAAACTTTTGGCAGTAAAAAAATATACACTGAGTGGCCAGATTATTATGATCTCTGAACGCATAATAATTATGATCTCTGAACACATAATAATCTGGCCATTCAGTATATATATTAGAGGCCTGGTGTGTAAATTCATGCATGGGTGGGGTCCAGCCAGCCTGGCCAAGGGAGGGGACATGGACAGTTGGCTGGCCTGCCTGCTGGTTGAACTCCTGGTCAAGGGGAAATTGGCATATTAGCCTTTTATTATATAGGATATATAATACACTGAGTGGCCAGATTATTATATGTTCAGAGATCATAATAATCTCGCCACTTAGTGTATGTCACAATAAAAGAGTACCTGAAAGATATACTTGCAAATGTTTGCTGATTAAATCAAAGTTAGGCTGGACTATAAGCACTATACTAAAGTTAGGTGACTGAGATCAAGTTTAGAACTAACTCTTACTAAAATTCCTAACAATTAAGGCAATATCTACTCCCATAGCTGCTTGGTGAAGGTTTATTAATTAAACAGATAGTTGCATAAATGCATGAATGCATGCATGGACAGATGGATGTATAGATGACTCATAAAAGTTTACAGACATAAAAGCCCTTAAATGTAATCTAGTCCAACTCCTTCATTTTTCAGATGAATTAATGAAATTTCACACTGGTTTAATATACCATAATATAAAATTAGAACCCAAATCTCATGATTCTGGGGTCTTTTAACTTTAATATGCTATCTCTCGTTTACCATTTAAAAAATGCTCCATTCAAACCAAAGTCAATAGCTTATGATCACCTCCCCCCCAAAAAAATAATAATAATCACTTTACAGATCATGCATGTTCCATGACCCCTGACACATGCCTGCCACACTAGCCATATCCCAAACAATTCTGAGAAACCCACTTGTCTCTGCAATCTATATGGGCAAGTAACCTGCATCCTCAGTAAGTATTTGAGAATATAGGCCCACAGATCTAATGTCACTTAAAATGTCACTACTCAACACTATTAAGACAAATATATATAATATCATCACTCAACCAAATCTTCATCTTGTTTTTTATGAAAGTACTAGTAGCCTGGTGCACAAAATTCATGCACAGGGGTTGTCCCTCAGCCTGGTCTGTACCCTCTCCAATCTGGGTCATCCCTTTCCCAATCCAGGACGCTGGATCCTAATCACTCACCTGCCTACTGGCCTGCTCACCCCCAGCTATCCCCCCCCAGCCTGCTCAACCCCAACTGACACCCCTGCTGGCCTGCTTGCCCTCAACTGCCCCCCCCCCCTCCGGCTCAACCCTAACTGTCCTCCCCTCCTGGCTTGATCACTCCTAACTGCCTCTGCCTGGGCCCGCTACCATGGCTTTTTCTGGAAGGACTTCTGAAGGTCTCCCAGTCTAATTAGCATACTACCCTTTTATTAGTATAGATAATAAGAATAAGCTTAATCAATCTCAAATTTAAAAGTAAATTTATCATTCCCCAAAATATAATCACCATTTTCCATTTTGAAGACCTTTAAAGTTCTGATTGATGAAACACAAAGTATTAATTTCTCACTCCTAATCAACATTAATAATTTTAGTTCCCTGCTCATATAAAAAACCCTGCCTTAAAAAAAAAAATGAAACCCTTCTTAACTATAATAGGCTTATGCTTGGCAGTTTTCTACATGTGCTATAAAGATTATCTTATTTTATTGAGATGTTTATTGTCTGTATTTTATTCTTTTTAAACATTCAAAAATTAAGTACAGACCCTGTTGAGCACCATTATTTCCCCCCTTCATTTCAGTGATTTAGATGCAAGGTATAAACTCAATTCCATGGCTTTAAACATATTACCTGTATAAAAACTTAAAAGCTTGTTTTTTCAAGCCAGAAGCCTTGTTGGAAATATTACTTGGATTCAGTTTTCAACATCATTCCAGAAAGATCAAATTACTTGTCAAGGTCACACAACATGTTTGTGGCAGAGCTAGAACTAAAATTAGATGTTTCTATTCAAATTATGTTCATATCTAGCACATAAATGTTTTGGAGAATAAGCACTATTCAAATCTTTGAGTTCACTTTAAGCAAAATCCTGCTTAATATGACATTTGGATTCCAAATATTTCAATCCATAAAATGCTTAATTACGTTGTTGCAGACAAGGAGTTTGGGAAGTTGGCTGCAGGATACAAATCCTTTTCAAGTTTGGGTGTGGGTTCGGATGTGGGTTGGTGCCACATAGTGGTGGTCTTTCTGTCTAACCAAAGAGGAAGGGGCCAGTTTGGTGTTCTGGGTAGCAGAACCATTTCATTGACCTGGTCTGGGAATATGCCAGGGCTATGGGGACCCACCCTCCACCTCCCGCTTCTTAGGTCAGGTGGCCTATTATTTTCCTGTCCATCCGGGTTCTCCTTGAGGGGACAAAACTATCTCCGCTCAGCCCTTCCCCCAATCAATACCCCATCAAACACACACACACACACACACACACACACACACACACATACACACACACACCTTTAAGAAACTGGGAGAGGCATGGTTGCTAGGTAGAAGGCAGTAGCCAATCTCATCACGTCTGATTTTGCTGTGTTGCAAGCTTTCCTTTCTTTTCTTTTCTTTTATTCTATCAACATTAGCTGTGATCATCTATTTGATAAACAGGAGTCAGTAGCATGCAGGCACAACGACCTGAGTATCGATACCTATCCGTAATTAAAGGGAAGTTTCTGGGTCCAGGTGCCCAATACAACACCAGATACACCAGGTGAGTGTCGTCAGTTTCTATCCTTTTTTTTTATTGTTTAAAATATTACATATATTAGTACATATACCTCCTTCCTCCCCCCCCCCCCCGCCATTGACCTTCCCTCAGCTTCCTTTACCCCCTGTTGCACGCCCTCATCACACCCCCCAGTGTCTTGTGTCCATTGGGGTGCTTACATGCATGCATACAAGTCCTTTGGTCGATCTCTTTCTCTCCCTCCCCATCACTCTCCAGCCTTCTCGCTGTAATTTGACAGTCTGGTCGGTGCCTACCTGCCTCTGTCAGCTTCTATTCTTCAGTACAAGTTGGCAAAGGAAAGAGAAACAGGGTGTCAGACCTGAGTTACAGCAGAGTCTCAGCAGGCCTCCGACTGCAGGCACCAGTTGCAGGAGAATGAAGGGGACTGGGGAGCAGCCCGGGGGGTGGCCCGTGAGGCGGAGCTTCGGAGGCTCAAGACACCCCGTGCACACGCGCGGCTTTCTGCAGAGGGTGACGCTAAGGGCCCAGATTGTGAACTGACCCAGGCCTTCTCGCAGGGCAGGAAGGTCAGACACCACCGCCGGGGGAAACTGCGCGGCAGGACGTTCGCCGCCAGGGGGCGACCACCCCACGAAGAGGGGCCTAGGAGGGACCGAAAGACTGGCCGGCGATGGCCACTCGGCGGCGCTGTCGCCCTTACCTCCAGGTAGAACAAGTCCACGGTCGTGATCTGCGAGTCGAGGAAATCTTCATAGGTGTTGAACTGGGTGACTATGTTGTCCACAGCCGTCAGCCCGTCATCCTGATCCATTGCGGTTGCCGTGGCTGAAGCGTCCCTAGCAACGCAGGCGGACGGTTCCACCCACTTCGTTCCCCGCCAGCAGTTGGGAGCTGGGGCGTTGATCCCGCCCCCGGGGGTGGTCACCGGTCAGGGCTTCCGCCCCATTCCTGGCATCACCTCCCAGGACACACTCCCAGGCCAGGACTGACACCTCAGCTGGCTCAGACTTGGGAGGAAATGTGGAGCCAGAGAGAGAGGAGAGATGCAAAGTACACTGCAAAATTCAAAATTATAAGACTGCCAGGATATCACACAAAATAGTATAGACTAGCGCTTCTAATCCCACCCTGAAACAATGTTATTATGCGAGACAGAAATAGCGAGGTTAGCTCTCTGGTAACTGAAGATCGCTCTATACATGTTTCTGTAAAGAGCATATCTCACAACAGAAGTCTCAAACCCAATTATTTGAAAAGTTATAACTTAAAAGTAAGTTATTGCTAGTGTTTGAGTATGAGGAAGAATTTATGAATTTCCCAAAGCAAGGAAGCTTGAAGACAATATATTAGAAGACTTCTTTTGGCACCAAGTGCTTGTTTTATGAACTTTTTACTTTGTAAGTTTCAATAAGCACACAATGAAAGATCTTGACTTGTTGACGCTGCTTTATATTATATATATATATATATATATATATATATATATATATATATATATATAATTATATTGATATTTAGAGAGGAAGTGGGTTAGAGACAGAAAGACAGAAACATCAATGAGAGAGAAACATTCATCTGCTGCCTCCTGCATGTTCCCCACCAAAGATGGGGATTGCAACTGCCTGCCCTGTGCCTTAACAAGAAATTGAACCAGCAACCTCTTGGTTCATGGCTCCACACTCATCCACTGAGCCACCCCTGCTGCATGAAGCTGCCTTTTTTAAAGGGTGAAATATCTGTGGAAACTTAGAAAGTAAAGTTTTACAATCAAGACTTTTCCTCTAGAACAAAGTTTTGCATATTGAAAACATGAATTAATGTAATCAACATGGATTTTGGAATCCATTTTTTTATTTTAATATTCTTCAAATCATCTTTAGGAATTAACACATATTACAATGGTGAGCTTGTGGTAATTGTAATTTGGTAAGTACTTACTGAAATGATTTTGAAGATCTTCACAGATGATCTAAAAAAAAGTTTTATTTCAATGAAAGCATCTAGTAAGATACTTCACCTTTAGTTGGCTTTCCCTTAAAAAGGTAATCTCAACAATTAAGATGTCACAAATGTACAAATGTTAAGTAATATAGACACAATAATCTCTAGCATATCAATGACTTGTTTTTGAACTAATGAATATGTTCTGAAATGTTTAAAGGGCATTTTGGAAATTGTTTTCAAATGAAATTTCATGATTGAATTTAGGTGAAGAGAAAGAAAGGAGAGAGAAATCCTGCGCACTCATAACATGGCAGCAACAACAACAAAAGCATTTATTGAGTGCTTCCTACATGCCACACATGTCCTAAGGGCCAACAATGAATCACACCCTTGTTAGTGTTTGTGCTAAAATTATTGGTCACAAACAATTTGACTTCAACTAATATTTTAAAAGATATGAAAATTTAAATAGTTCAAGAATGAGAAGTTCATTTTACTTAAGACATTCTGACAGAGGACATATGTCTCAGTTTTATAAGTCCCACCCGAAAGAGGCATTATTCTGGGCTAACTGAATACAAAAAAAGGACTTAGAAAAGTTTCAATCACTTAGTTTGTTCAGGAATTATAAATATTTGCCTTATTATATAATAATAATGTTTATTCTTTACCACATGCCAACTCTTTTCTAAATACTTTTACATATATTATTTTATTTAATTATGATGATAAATCAACGAGGAAAGTAGCATAAGCATTACTCTCTAAATAGAGACAGAATGAGCCTAAATGAATTGGCCAAAGTTTTTTTTTTATATATTTTTATTGATTTCAGAGAGGAAGGGAGAGGGAGAGATAGAAACATCAATGATTACAGAGAATCATTGATTAGGTGCCACCTGTGCCCCTATCGTAGATTGAGCCCACAACCTGGGCATGTGCTCTGGAACGGAATCTAACCTAGGACCTTTCAGTCTGCAGGCTGACACTGTATCCACTCAGCCAAACCAGCTAGGGCTGGCCAAAGTTTTAAAGATTAAAAAATAACAGCGTAGTTTATTATCCCCAATTTTCCACAAAAACAAAGCAGAGGTAAATAGAGGTTTGAAGGGCCACATGGAACTAATTATAAAAGTTGCTTTTTGTTTATTAGAAAACAATATATGTCAAATTGTGAATGGGAACATGGATTGACACAAAGAAAAGTATCAAAAGGGATGGTATATTATGAGGAGTGGAGGCAGGGAAGATCAGGGCCTGTATAGGGAAAAGTGCACGTTATTTTCACAGCTATGAGGGGCCCAGGAAGAGAGCAAAAGAAGCTGACTGGAGGAGGAAAACTAGTAGGAAGACTTCAAATGCTAGGTTCGCATACGGTGGTAATCATAGCCTTGAATAAGAGAGAGGGACACAGAGAGAATGAGTTTGATTGCTGATCGGGCACTCCTGAAAGAAAGTATCTCAGAGCTAACCATAAGCACTAATTGCATTTACTACATTTGCCTTCTAGTTCTCCTCCACCAGAATCATCACTTTCAAGAAACAGCAAAGCATAGGGTCTCTTTGGGTCCATTAAATGTAGGCCTTCAATGACAAGGACCTATATGTTAATAAAAGGTTAGGCTATTGTTAGCCCATGTATCATTCTATTATGACTCATTGTGCTTGTGGAAATCTCATTAAATCTGCCATTTGGCCAACAGCTTTTTGATGAAGTAATCTCTAAAGTGTTTAAATTTAAACACAGAAATATTTTCAGTTTAGTAAGATCTTTCAACTAAAAATACTGAGTGCTTTTTCAACAAACCAGTTTCTCCATAAATATTGAAAGCAAAACAATTTATAAATTTAGACTTATTCCTTACAAAAATACTTGAATGATAATAGGCCTAATTCAATGTGTGTGTTTTTTGTTTGTTTGTTTGTTTGTTTGTTTTTCACTTTCAGACCTGTGTCTGGTAAATTACATGAGAGGATGGCAACAAAGAAATTAATGAGCTTCAGTAAGTCTATGTTTCCTGTTGCAAAGTCTGTTATGATTGGGAGATACTTTATTTTGAATAACTTGCATTCCTACTTGAAGTCTAGGATTTTTTTAAAAAGATTGAAACCTGGAATTTAGTACTCAACCCCAAAGAAATTCTACTCTTTGCAAAAGAATCAGCAAGTATTATATATATTTACAACAAAATTACAAAATGTGAGAGAGAAGAAACACATGCTATATAAGAATAGCAAAATATATGTGGCTGAATAAAAATAAGGGAGGGTGAGCACAATATAGGAATGTAGGCAAAATCTAAGTATAAGCATCTCTGAAATAAATAGGCTTTGGTACTGTACTTAGCTGGTGGAGGTATATAAAAGAATTTCAAATCTCTGCACTTTTTTTATTTTCAAATATTCAGTATTATACCATGATATCTGGGGAAGTGAGTAGCAAACATCCTTTTGGCATTGTTGATATGATAGGAAGGGGAATGCCTTGATTATTTTGCTAATAAGATGCTAAATACTCTGAGTAAGAACTTGAGGCTCCATTAAAATGGATTAATAATACATTACCATATTGTAGAAAGAAAAACATATGCACACTGGAGTAAGATAAGAGATTTGGGTCTGATGTTGCCCAATTCCTTAAGTTTCTATGGGTTGCAGGTGAGGACTATTGCCTAATCATCAGCCAAGGAGAGCTCTTTTGCGCTTTGTAATAATGATGACACTGAATTTATTGAAGGTGTTTCTTGTGATGAGGTCACTGGACTGCCACACCATCTCAGTTCTTCTAAATTGCTGAAGTTCTGGTTCCACAGCTTCTCTGTCATGGAGACAGCTGTGTTCATGTGTTGTAACTCATTCATTTTCTCCTCCTTTATCTGACAATATAAAAGGAACAACCCAGAAGAAAGACAAGTATGAGATGTAACTGCTCCCAGGAGTGGGTCGGCAGGCGTCAGCAGCTGCTAAAGGTTGAAAGCTATTATTGTGCTACGGCATAGAGCAGTGGTCGGCAAGCTCATTAGTCAGAGTCAACTATCAACAGTACAACAATTGAAATTTCTTTTGAGAGCCAAGTTTTTTAAACTTAAATTATACAGGTAGCTACATTGTTGTTAACTTAATTAGGGTACCCCTAAGCTGGCCTTTGCTAAAAAGACCCTCATGTGGCTTGCGAGCCGCAGTTTGCCGACCACTGGCATAGAGGCTGGATCTAATTGCCACAACCATCTCTCTTGAACAGAGGAAAACGTGGGCTCCCTCAGGGCTCTATACTGTTTTTCTTACAGTTTCACTGAAAATTCCCTCAACCTCTTTGCCTACATGGAAATCAGTCCCTGCCCTAAAACACCACTTTCCTGCGTGGTCCCAACACTCCCAGAAAACGTCACACATGAATGCATGGCCACCAGCGTGCTTAGAATAAATTAATATCTTGGAATGTATTTATGAAGAAAAGTCAAAAGTTTTTATAAATGGACACTGTTACATTTTCCAAAATTATGTGGTTACTATTAGCCAAATGAGCACAACAATATTTATTTCAATAACTAAGAGCGGATATCTGTGGCAACCACTGTGTCTCAGCAATGAGAATTTAAATGTAAACTTATCTTAATGAACGTACTTGTTGGCCTTGGCCAGTATGACCCAGCGGTAGAGCATAGGCCGGCTCACACACCACAGCGTCTCGTGTTCAGTTCCCCATTAGAGGCATGTACCTGGGTTGCAGGTTTGTTGCCTGGCCAGGCTTCCACTCTCTCTAAAAATCAATAGAAAAAAAATACTCTCCGGTGAGGATTAACAATGACAACAACAGAAGAATACGCAGCCGAAACTGGGTTGGCTCATTGGATAGAGCAGCAGCCT